ATGGGCCTAAGCCCAACCATTTTTAGTACCCCATGTTAGTAATTACTAAAACACAAAACAATTCACCCCCCCCCCTTTAGAACTGCATTTGGGCCAGTCCAGCCTGACTATTAGCACCCCCTTTATTTTACTTCTCAACTTAGAATACACCCCCCTGTTTGTTTGCAATTTTTTTTCTATTTTTCTATTTTCTTATTTAAATATTTATTATTATTATTATTATTTATTATTATTATTGTTATTATTTTTTATTATAATTTTAAATATTTTCTTATTATCATTATTTATCTCTTTTTATAGTAATTATTATTATTAACAATATTGTTTTTTAATTTATATTATTATTATTACTATCATCCAAATTATTTTTAGTAAAAAAATCATGTACATATTATTCTATATTATTGCATTGAATATTTTTTCAGTCATACATTAATCAAATTATTTTTGCAATTAATACGATAAAAAATTTCAACTAGCATCAAACTATTTTTCGCAATAAACTAATCTAAAAAAACTATTTTTGCAAAAGGGTTCTAAAAGAATTTTGACTAATCGTGCATTTAGCCAAAATTCCGCAATCTCTACAACCAGTCAAATGCGAGGCGATTCAAAACACATTTGCAACCCCCTAAAAAACACCAACCTCATACGAACTACCAATTGGGACTCTGATTCCTCATAAGAGGATACGTATGCATACGATCAAAAATCATGGTGAGTTCCCCTATTAAAACTTAAAACCCTTTTCCCTATTAAAAATTAAAACCCTTTTCCCCTATTAAAATTAAAACCCTGTTTACCCGAAACCTAAACCTAAAACCTAATATCCTTGTGAACAAGGTAGATGAAAGGTGCCTAACACCTTCCTCTCGTCTAATGAGGTCTGAAACTTAGAATCTCTGTCTTTGCGAATTAGGGTTTCCTATTAGATGTCATTCCTTAGGATAAAAACTAGTAGTGGTGACTCTCATTTAAAAACCAGTCACAACACATATTAGGAAGGATGATGAGTGTTATGGTTTTGCAGCATACGCTTGTGCGACCTAATTAGACAGGGAAATGTTTGTGGAGCATGATGTTACTGATATTAGAGCCTCAGTAAGTATCCAAGGTGTGTCAATGAGATAGTTGAGATGGAAAGATGTGATGATGATGTAGTAGAAGGGTTTGGTGATAGTGAGGATGAACTAGCCACTGCTATTCTAGATGGTTTTGAAGGGATTAATGTAACTAAACCCATTAATGAGAGCCCTTCAGTTGGTGAGTTTATGAGTGGGTCTAAATAGAAAAGTTATGAGGATGATGAATATGTGAGTGATGAGCTGGATAGCTCTAACCTGGATTTATCTGATAGTGAGAAAGGGAAAGTGCCAACGCTTGAAAAGTTTAGGAAAGAGCATTTAAATAAGGATTTTAAATTTCAGTGAGATATGCAATTCAACTCCCTAGATCATTTTAGAGATGCCATCCGTGAGTGGTCAGTATTAAATGGGAGAGAAATTATATTTATGAAAAATGAAAGTGACATAGTAAGGGTAGTATGCAGAGCTAATTGTGGGTTTTTAATGTTGTGCTCTAAAGTGGGCCATAAGCTCACTTATGCTATAAAAACCATAGTTGACAAACATACATGTTCTAGGGTTTTAGACAACAAATCTACAAGTTCAAGGTGGGTGGCTAAGGTTGTGTTGAAGAAGATGCAAACTTTTGATAATGTCAGGATCTGTGATATAATTCAAGACTTGAGGCAAAATTATTCTACGGGAATCACGGTGGGTAGGGCGTGGAAGACTAAACTCATAGCCAAGAAGATGCTTGAAGGAGATGCAGACAGGAAGTATGCAAATTTAAGGAGATATACTACAGAATTATACATAGTGAATCCTGGGAAAACTATGAGTATCACTGTAGAAAGTGTGATGTTGTTCTCAATAATATATCAGAAACATTTAACAGTGTCATCCTGGAGTCTAGGGCCAAGCCTTTGATAACCATGGTGGAAGAAATTAGGGTATACATGATGGAAAGATGGGCTACAAACAGGATGAGATTTGAGAAATTGGCAGATGTTGAAGTGTTGCCTAACATTATGGAGAAGGTTGAAAAAATAAGTTCATACACAAACATGTGGCTTATCAGGTAAATTGCTTTAAACAAATTTCTTTAAAGTGTATATATTTGAAGTGTATTTATATTTGGAATGTATATTTATATGTTAGGATGTTTGATGAGCATATATTTGAAGTGAGGCATCTGGAAAACTCAGCTGAAAAATTCACAGTTAACTTGAAGGAAAAGTATTGTTCATGCAGAAGATGGGAGCTAACAGGCTTGCCTTGTGTTCATTCACTTACAGCAATCAAAAATAGGAACCACAAGATTGATGACTACATTCCTAATTACTACAGGAAAGCAAGATATATGCAAGTGTACAAATCTGTAATATATCCTATTAATGGCTCAAACCTGTGGATGAGAACAGAGTATCTTGATATTCTGCCCCCCAAATTTAGGAAAATGTCTAGGAGGCCAAAAAAATGAGGAATTTAGAGCAAGGTGAGAAATATGGTTCTGATAAAAAGATGAGAAGGACATGATTCATTATAAAGTGTAGCAGGTGTAAGAAAGCAAGACACAACAAGCTTACTTGCAAGGTACCTTCTACTAGTCAAGCATCTCAGCCAGCTCAAGCATCTCAGCCAGCTCAAGCATCTCAGCCAGCACAAGCATCTCATCCAGCTCAAGCATCCCAGTCAACTCAAGCATCTCAGCCAGCTCAAGCATCTCATCCAGCTCAAGCATCTCAGCCAACACAAGCATCTCAGTCAACTCAAGCATCCCATCCAGCTCAAGCATTTCAGCCAACTGCTTCTCAATCATCCAAGAAAGTGAATCCCAAATCCAAAAAGTTGCAAGTTAGAAGGCCAAATGCATCTTTTGTCCCACCTGGTCCAACAACTAGGTTGAATGCATCTAAAATTGTTGTAGGTCCAACAACAAAAAGGACGACACCTATTAAGAGAGCCGCAACAAAATGGAAAGCTTAGATTAATGTCTTTACTGTAATAGTTATGTTGGGTTATGTTAACTCTAGTTAAGTTATTTTAAAGTGTTTTGAACTTGTATTGTCTAGTGTTGTTTTAAACCTGTCATATCAGGTTTCTTGGACATGTAAAATATGGTTTTTTGGATATGTAATAGTAGTGTTTTTGGACCTGTAATATCAGGTTTTTTGAACATGAAAATTATGAATATTAGTGGTATCCACCACCTTATGTATTGTTGTTGACTTTATTCAGTTGATTTTATATGTTATGCTATGATTTCATTCAAAATGTTACACTAGTTACTGGAATTTAAAAAAATTCATCAAAATTACAGTTCCAAAATTACACCAGTTTCATACAGTTCCAAAATTCATACAGTTGCATACTGGAATTTACACCAGCTCCAAAATTCATTACAAAATGTTACAAGTAAAACATACAAATTCATCAATTAACAACATCATCTTCTTTTCAAATGATATTACAAACAATATTGAAATTTACAACATCACCCAAATGACAAAAATTAACCATACAAAATATTCTTTTCCATTTTTTTCGGAATTCATCATTTTCTTCATTTCAATTTGTAACCCCCTTATCTTTTGTTTCAGTCCATCCTTTTGTTCCTTTAAAGGCAGTGTCTCCATTTTTGTTGCATCAAGGTCATTTTGAAGCTTCTCCAACCTACTATTTTGCTTCTTTATAAACTGCTCTTTCTCATCCACAACATCATCATAGAACCATTGAAAGTATCCATATCCAGTTTCAGATGAACCCTATGTCATTCCAAATTTGGATGGATCAGAAAAAATAATATGAATAAGTCATTTAATTTCTTTCTTACCTTATAATGACGACAGCTCCAGAATTGCTTCCCAAAATCCGTGTGAGTTGAAGCCCTTCGAAGAGCAGCCGTGTCTCCAGAGTCGCATATTGGTTTCCATAGCAAATTTCCGTCTAAACATCCACCGCTGTTGACCTTCGAATCGTATGAACACTGACATGAGTACTCTAATGATGATTGCTTCATTTTCCCCAAGCAATTACAGAATCATAAGGGGAAGAAAATTGTTGAACCCTAGAATTTGGGAGAGTTTTGGGTAGAAGAGAAAGAAATGGGCGATGCAGACTTGAAGAGAACGAAGAAGATGACATAACATTTCACATCAGCTACCACACATACAAAACAAATGTCCGTTTGTGCCTTTTGGACGGAAAGGACTACTGTGGTCCTTTTTGAACAATTAAAGGATCACTTTGAAACTTTTTAAAAATAAAGGATCAGAATGAACCCAGAGATAAAATTAAGGGACTAAGAAGGATATTTTGCCAAAAACTTATTAAGAAAGATCTCAGTAAATAAATTGGATAAAAATATAATCTTTGATAGAATATAATATCGAAAGTTGATTCATGTAATCAATTTAGTTAATAAAATAAGACTGAATTTGTTAACATGTAGAAAAAGTTTTATACAATTAATTCATAAAAACTATTTCAAATAAAGTATCATTATATCATTTCATCATGAAGACACACTATCATATCTACTTTTTATAATTTTACATATTTATTTTTTTATTATACTAAATGATATTTTATTTCAACTTTGAAGATTAAAAATATCATTTTTTTACAGTGATTTGTCATGCCTATCTGGCAAAGTAGACACTCATTGGTTATCCTTTTTAGAAAAAGGAGAGTTAGAACATCAAATCCGGGCGAGTTTTACTCCCCTCCATGATCCCATAATTAGAAACATTTTAGTTCTTTTTCACACCAATCTTCTATTTCTTCAATCACTCTTTTTTTCCTTCAATTTTTTTGCATTTCTTTTCTACGCTACTGGTCCTATCCTCAACTTCATGTCTTCTCCTCCTCCCTCTCTACACATATAGAGAGAGAAGAAAAACTCAAAAGAATAACAATAACAAAAACAAGAATAAGATGTTGCAGAGAGCTGCAAGCAATGCATATTCATGGTGGTGGGCGAGCCACATCAGAACCAAACAATCCAAATGGATGGAGCAAAATCTCCAAGGTCAACTTTTTCTTCTCATTTTCTTCTTTCTATATACTCAAACTATGCATATATTAGTCGTGCAATTGCATCCAAAGTTGCATGCAGAGGATATCTGGTTTCTACCGAAAAACTATGTATATATTAGTCTTGAGAGATTAGTCTCTGCAGTTGCATGCAAAGGGATACGTGGTTTCTACCGAAACACTATGCATATATTATATATAAGTTTTGTAACATGTTCATAGTATGAAAAAATGTACAAAAATGGTATCTATATAATATTGATTAACAATCATTTGCAGATATGGAGGAAAAGGTACAAACGGTTTTGCGGCTTCTAGAAGAAGAAGGCGACTCCTTTGGAAAAAGAGCGGAAATGTATTACAAAAGGAGACCGGAACTGATAATCTTCGTGGAAGAAGCGTTCCGCGCGTACCGATCATTAGCAGATCGGTACGATCATTTATCAACAGAGTTACAGAATGCAAACAACACAATTGCTTCCGTTTGTCCGGATAGTCTTCCTTATATGGACGAAGAGGACGATGAAGCATCGCCGAGGCCACCGAGAAAAATGCCAGAAGGGCTCAAACCGAATGTTCCGAATGTTCCGAAAGTTCCCGCGCCTCCGGTGAAGGATTTAAAAAGTGTCATTACCACGGCTACGAAGAAGTTAAGTGCGAAGAAAGCGTCTATGGCAGCTTCTAAAGTTCCGAAATCGGGATTAAGCAGAAAGCAGGTGATTGAAGAGGTTGACAAGCTTCAGAAGAATATTCTAGCATTACAGACTGTGAAAGAGTTTCTGAAAAGCTCTTATGATAATTCCATTGCTAAGTATTGGGAAACCGAGGGACAGATCAAGGAGTTGCAAGAGAGAGTTTCGAATTTGCAAGACGAACTCGGGGAAGGTGTTGTTAATGTTATTGATGACGAGGAGGCTCGGCATTTGATGGCAGAAGCCGCGCTTAAATCCTGTCAAGATGCATTGTCGCAGTTGGAAGAGAAACAGGCTGCGTCACTCGATGAGGCGAAAATTGAGTCCAAGAGAGTGAAGGAAGTGAGGGAAAAGTTAAGCTCCCTTATGAATGAATTTCAGTATGATCAAACCAATCCGCAAAAGCCGAGGCCTAAACGAGATGTGAAAGAAGTAACAGAGAAAAAGGATTTGGATGAAGATGTGGAGGTAATGACTAAACAGAGACAAGAGTTGCAGATATTGAAAGAGAAGATTAAAGAACATTTCGAGGCTGGCTCGCATTCGGCTTTAACCGTGACAGAAATGGCAGAGAAGATTGATGAGCTTGTTACAAAAGTCATTAGTTTAGAATCTGCAGTTTCTTCACAGACAGCTTTGGTAAAGAATTTAAAAGACGAAACTGACGAACTCCATTCGTTGATTCGATGTCTAGAAATGGAAAAGGAGAGCTTGGTTAACGAAAAAGTTAAATTGAACGAGAAACTTCGCGAAATGGATGAAAAAGTGCATGAATTAAATGACCTTAGCCAAGTTGTTGAAGATCAAAACAACAACCTCCAAACTCATTTCACCGAAGCACATTGTAGTCTTGATAATCTCGCTGAGAAAGTAGTCAAAAAGGAAAATCCGGACGAAGAGGATAAAGTGACTGAAATATTACCAATAGAAACACATTCATTACGCGAAGATGAACCAAAACAAGATGTTAAAGCAGAAAATGCATTGAACGACGATGCCGAGTCCAATAAAGATACTTCTTTGGTAGAAGGAGATACTTTAAATTCAGATATGGAAAACAAAGTAAAGGTCACTGATTCGCAAACAAAAGAAGAAGCAATCGTAGTTGAAAACAAATCTTCTGTAGAGTTGAAAGAAATTGCGAATACTCATAACATTAGCAATAATGATACAATCGAATCAAGAGATAACACAAGTCATGAAAATGACAATAATCAAATTTCGTCGGAGACAAAGAGTACTCATAAAAGTGATTCCGAGGAGGAAGCAACAGCACTAGAAGAAAATGCTTTGCTATCAGAGTATAGAAACACTCTTCAGAATTATGAAGAAGTGAAGAGCAAGCTCAATGATGTAGAGAAGAAAGCTCAAGATGCATTGTTTGAGTCATCTTTGCAGGTGAAAGAATTGAAGACTTCTAATGCTGTGAAAGACGAAGAAATTCGGCTCTTACGTCAGAAACTAAATCTTATCCAGAAAAGCGTAGAGGGAAATGAAGAAACGGATGAGTTACCTCCCTTGCAGCCGCCACCAGAAAATCACGCTATTGAGGCGATGTTTAAATTAGAAGAACCGGAATCAACTTCTGTGATTGAAGAGAAGTTTCGTATGGGAATCGACGAACTTCTAGAGGAGAATCTAGTATTCTGGATGAAATTCAGTGCTTCTTTCACCGAGATACAGAAATACGAAACAACTACAAAAGATTTGCTAACCGAGGTATCAAAAATCGAAGAAAAATGGAAAGCAACAGAAGGAAGTAGTAGCACAAAATATTCATTGAAATCAGACGCAAGACCGCTTTATAAACACCTTGCAGAGATACAAAATGAACTCACACTATGGTTAGAAAACAGCGCGATGCTGAAGGAAGAACTTCAACAAAGATTCTCGTCGTTGTGTGAAATCCAAGAAGAGATAACAACAGCATTGAAAGCAAGTGCTGAAGGTTATGATTTCAAGTTCACAAGCTATAATGCTGCGAAATTTCAAGGCGAGGTTTTGAATATGAAACAAGAGAATAACAAAGTTGCTGATGAGCTTCAAGCAGGGTTTGATCTTGTAACAACTCTTCAACTTGAAGCTGAGAAGGCTCTTGCGAAGTTGAATGAAAGATTTGGACTGTCGAATTCCAAGAGAAACCAGATGAGACCTTCAGATTCGACGAACCGTGTTCCTCTAAGGTCATTTATCTTTGGAGTTAAACAAAAGAAACAAAAACAGTCAATCTTTTCAATGCATAGGAAATATCGTGCTTTGAAATCATAAAGATCATAAAGCCATAATGTAATTGTAAAGTAATATTCATACATACTGCATTTTCTTTAAAATGAACATTAGGTAGTGTATGTTTTGAGATAAGTTTATAATACTTGTCTATAAATTGTAAGAAGTGTGACCAAATGTATGTAGGGGATTTAGATTGCCCTTTGTATTGTGTGCCTTCTTTTAATGTGCATCGGTGAATCCATTTTGTGTTATAAATGTTGTCTTCTAAGTACCAAATATCCAATGAAGGATGGTGATTTCAGAGTAAGAACATGACCTATAAAAAGAAAGACATAGATGCTTAACTGTGGACTGTGAATTCCTAATGCTACTTGAAGATATGTTTCATAAAATAAAATAAACTTCTTTTTTGAATTAACTAGGCTTTGGATCATCTGCAATTTTGTTATTAGACACTAGTTGATGAAAGCAACAGTTACCTAATTTCTCATGTAACTTTGTCTACATCTTTAAGGAAATCTACTAACATGCTTACACAATTCTTCTAAATTGTAATCATTTAAATTTTCAAGAGTCATGAAAACTTTAGAATTTGATATTCCATCTTATAACGCAAGTGTTTATCAATATAAGTATTTATGTATACGTTTATAATAGGTTTGCATCAAAGTTCAACCCTAAACCCCTACCTTTTTACTTTAATTTTGAATGTAATCACGAGATCCGGGAATAATTTTATTAGTGTTTAATAAGGGATGGTTCATGATAAGATAACCCGTGGCAAAAACAAACTAAGTTCAAGAAGGTTGGAAGAATGCCCGAAATGGGCTTGGTTGCCCGAAGTGGACTTAGTTGCCTAACTGGTATTCAAGCTCTGTTTAGCTTAATACATATGACCCATGAGACGTTTAAGCAGCAACAGTCTTGAAGTATCGATCAAAGAAAAAAATTGTCTCCCCCATAATTTGGGGAGGAACTCGTCTTCCCTTGTTCCCACGTTCCTGATAAAGAGGTGAGAGAAACTACTTCTCTTGCCCCAAAGATCCTCTTTATAACCAAGTCTAGGAATTGGAAAAATACCATGCACAAATTCTAGAGAGAAATACACGTAGTCTCTCACAACCACCATGCGAGCAAATTCTCATTCTCTCAACTATTGCACTTTTATCTAGTACAACATCCAAGAGCTAACACTAAGATGCATGCATTTTACAGATGATATAGTTGTACTAGAAGAGTCGAAAGAGGATTTAAATTAAAGATTATAGACTTGGAGACGAGCTATAGAACCGCATGACTTTCGTCTAAACAGAAGTAAGACAAAATATATGAAATGTAAGTTTAACAAAAGGAGAAGCATTTTTAATCTAGAAGTGAAAATTGGAGAACATATCATCCCACAAGTCACACATTTTAATATCTTGGGTTTGTAATATAAAACGATGGAGAAATAGAAGGGGACGTAATCATCGAATTCAAGTTGGGTGACTGAAATGGAGGAGGATTTAAGGAGTTTTATGTGACATAAAGGTACCGCTCAAGGTAAAGGAAATTTTTTATAGACCTGTGGTAAGACCAACGATATTGTACGTGACAAAATATTGGACGATTAAGAATCAACACGGAAATAAAGTAAGTATAGCATAGATGAGGATGTTGTGTTAGATGTATATTAAGACTAAACATGATAAGATTAGAAATGACAATATTATAGAGTGTTGAGATAGTACTTATAGTAGAAAAAATGATAGAAAATAGACTTTAGTGGTTTGGACATGTATAGAGAAGACCTATAAATTTTGTGGTAAGTGGTTTGGACATGTATAGAGAAGACCTATAAATTTTGTGGTAAGGAGAGTTAATATGATAGAGAATGGTCTAACAGTTAGAGATAAATGAATACCTAAAAAAAATAAGAGAAGTTATTAAGAAAAATCTCGAGATTAACTGTTTAGATAGAAGCATAGTTCTCGATAGAACATTGTGGCAGAAGTTGATTCATGTACTCGGCCGCATTTAATGAGATAAAGCTTGATTGTTGTTGTATTTTTATATGTGCTATAAAATAAGCTGTTTTTATAATATATTTTAGAAAGTTTATGAAAATAAATTGAAAAAAAAATGCTTATATATGTATTATGTTTTTTCCATACATTCATCTAAACCCTATTGCAAAATTAATCCAGCCATAAGTATATGGTACACAAATAAGATAGTGTCGTACCAAGTTTGTTTTTCACTATTGAATCAATATGTTCCATGATATAGATTGAGTACAAGCCAAATACCCCAGTAATGTACAAGCACACCAACCAGCGTAAACACATTTCAACAACATTATTTATTAATAAGACGTACGTGTCTGTTTGCTAGAGATTTTTATCAATACAGAACAAACTTCTATAGACACTTTTCTCTCCTGAGATACTTTTCAATGAAGGAACTTTTTAAATTCCAAGCGAAACTTGTTATTTAACGATAGTAACATAAGCATTTAATTATATACCGACACTTAATGCTGCTTCCACTATTCAAATGACACATCTGATACTATCTGAGCTCCCCTTCCCCATGCTATGTAAAGGCCGACATGATGCATTAGTGCCTGCAGTAAAACAATAATAATGGAAACATTAAAAATGATTAATATTTAATCACATTGATTTTTCAAAAACTTAACATGTAAAAACAGCAAAAGAATTGCTTGGAATATGACTATCACAATTTACCTGTGGATGGGATACCAGGTCTTTGCCAGTTTTGGCTACATGTGGTGGAAGATCATAAGTAGTACAAGCTTGTGAGGCCACAATCACATTTTCCAGAGGAGAAAGGAAACCGCGGTTTCTCGCAGACAAAACCGAACAGGTAAAATCCAGCACACATATATCAGTGCATATCCCACAAACTAAAACCTGTAACATGCCACAACCTACATCTAAGAATCTCAACCAAGAATCTAAGAAGTAAACAAACATAATATTAACATAGAATCTCTCAGTTGCGGTTATGAAATCACAAGCCTTGAGATGAATGCTGCAAAACTTCTAGTATATACAAAATCCTACAATAACAGAAAATCAAATATTGATAACATAACACCAGACAAAATAATACTTACTTGTTTTATCTGATTACTTTTCACCCAATCAATAAAGACATTAGAGCCATCTTTCTCATATGAACCAATGAATCCATCAATACAGTCTTTGCGCCTGAGTGTTGCATTTGGCTCATTTTCCAACCACAGGAGTTCTTCATTTCAGAGAAAATCAAATCCAAATCAGGGCACAAAATACCAACCCAATAAGCATATATACTTATCCAAACATCAATTTTAAAAGTGAAGAGTTAAAATAAATCAATTCATGAAACTTTGAGCATCACTCATATTAATCCTTTAATAATTGAATCAAGGCTCACAAGAGATTTTAGAAAATAACTTAATAAACAGAATTAATATTATCATGTATCAGTTATTCAGTAAAATTCAAAGCATAAATTTTACTTATAATAGTAAGTAGATGGTATGGACTCTGATATTGACTTTAACATCCTAAAGTACAACATGTTTTGACGAATGTCTTTTTTAGTAAAAGTGTTTGTGACATGAATATAAAGTTTAACATTACCACAAGACGGAAAATATTTTTTGGCTGTTTGTATACAAGCTGCATATACTCAAGACTTTCTCCTTTCTATTCCTATAGATGAAATAGGTCAACATATTTTATTTTGTAGGAATAAGATACAGAAAAGAAATTATACCAGGAACAAATTTAGTTTCGTCGGATCCAACAAGACAGTGAGGAGGATAAGGAGGCTCCGGAATATGAGGGTGATGAGAATCAAGATAAGCAAAAATTGGCCAATTCTTGTCAGCAAAAACTTTGGACAACCTCACAGATTCTTCTACCATTTTAGTAACTTGTTTGTCATGTTGTTTCGGCGCCTACCGTAATAGTAATAAAACATAAAAGTTAATTTAATTTGTAACAAAAATGACAAAGAAACGGACAAAGGTTAGATACATAAAACAGAGTAAGTTAAAAGGAAGGGACAGAATATAGTAACCAAATTGCCCGATCCAACGGTGCAGAAACCGTTAATAATATCAACGAGGACGAGACCGGTTTTGAAGTTGTTGGAAAGAACAAGAGGTTGTTGTTTAACTGGGATTTGTTCCTGGAGAAGGTCTAGTGAGGGAGATGAAGATTGAGATTCAGAGCCCATTTTTGATTGGTTTGACTGTGAATGCAAAATTAGTTGACCAAATAAGGTACTAATTGTAAGCAACTAATTGCGTATTTTAAATTAATTAATGGCTGGGTGGGAATAGCTGCGATTTGATTGTTGAAAATGTCACATCCCCTGCCTCCACTCCCATTTTTTTTATTTTTAGAATGTTTGGCTGTATTATTTGAACAACTATTCTTTTATTCATGACGTTGGTTCAATTGTTTAGAAAAGAAAAAAAATTATTATAATTTTATATATAGGTAATTAAAACCGGACCGGTTGAATGGGAAACCGGACCAATATCCAGAGACCGTTAAATAGATGAAAAACCGCTAAAACCGGACTAATCCGGCGACGCTTGAGGTTCTTGCGGTTGGATCGCGTTTTTTTGTTTCACTTGAACAATTATCGATTGTGTCTCAGAGAGGTAAAAAGTGATTTTCTTCGAAAGTGTTTTTGCATCCTTCTTAGTTCTAAAGTGTGCAGGATAAAATATTAAGAGGTGATTTAGTAGAATGAAAGATTAAGAGGAAGTTTGGTATGAAAAATTGTCTGCAGAAGAAAAGCTTGTAGTAAATGAGAAGAAAATGTGAAGCGGCGGTTGTTTTTTTGCTTTGTTATCTTGAAAATTAAAATAAAGTTAGGGTTTGTTATAGATAGGGCTCCATGGACTTACATCTAAAATGGGCCTATAACTAATAGTCCAAAAAAATTTAAAAGAAAACTAATACTTCAAATATTACAAAAATAATTTTAGTTTTTTTTATTCACAAAAAATAAATTTGGAGTAATGTCCATCATTAAATTTATTTCTTCTAAATTAGAATAAAATAAAAAGTTATTTTATAATTAATAAAAATATATAAATATATATGTTATTAACATCAATCTGACCACGTTAAATCTCAGTCAAACTTTTAAATCTTAAATCTATGTCTATACTGATTTGTTGATCGGTCCGATTTTAATTATCTTAATTGAAATTAATTATTATGTATTGTCATTCTAATTTTTTTTATATATTCGGTGCATCGCATTTATTTATAAACTAGTAAAAAAATGTGTGCATACACACGGGTTTTGATTTCGTACTCGCATTATATATAAGATACATGTGCGTCCGCACAAGCTAAATTATTTATGTTAATAATTATTAAAAATTTAATTAAACACACTATAAAATATATAATTTTAAAATAAGTAACATTCATTTTGTTACCCCTTCAAAATTTATTATTAAATAACATTAGGGACATTTATAAATATATATATATATATATATATATATATATATATATATATATATATATATATATATATATATATATATATATATATATATATATATATATATATATATATATATATATATATATATATATATTTTGATTGTTATGTGAATATTAACCATATGGTATGAACTCTGATTTCGACAATATTTTAGATAATTTTAGTGTTACGATTCTAAATTTTGACTTTAAGAATTTTACTAGTAAGGACACTCCCTCCTAAAGCACAATATATTTTGGCGAGTGCTCTTTTTAGTAAAAATATTTAGAACATGGATGTAAAGTTTGACATGACCGTAAGATATAAAGTAGTTTTTGGTTGTTTGTATGCAAGTCGCAGATGCTCAAGACTTTCTCCTTGTTATTTCTATAAATGGAATAGGTAAACATATCTCATCGGGGAAGAGTACCGTAGTATTCTAAGATACCGCCTTATGATTCACTTAATTCCTATTGATGAGTTTTGCCCTCTTTGTTGCAATGTGTGTTCAGATACATTTGAAGAATATGTGATTCATTGTAGAGAATTTTCAAACTTCAAATACTGACATGACTTTATTAGAGATGTCATATTTAATATATTTAGGCGGGAGGGAAGATCGACACTTAGATCATGTTTTGGTGTACGGGTGGATAGGAGAGAAACATTCATGTGTGGACTTGATAGTAATTTCTCCACTGGTGGGACTGAGGAGGATCAAAAGTTTTAGTGTGAGATAGACAACACTCAAAATCTCAAAATCTCTTCAAATAAAATAGTCAAGCATGAAAAAGCGTATTCTTATAATCAACATGCTTTCATATCATTTGACTTTGATAATTTTGAAACTTTAAAAAAATTGTTCTATAAATGGTCATAAAAAAATATTGAAACTTTAAAAAAATTATCATTGAAATGTAATTATTATTTTTTTTAATAAAATAGATAATTATCAAATTCGTCGGTCATAAATGAAATTTAAAAAAATTTATATTAATATATTATTTAATTTATAATTAAATTTATTCTATCAAAAAATTAATTTTAAATAATTTCTTACATTTTCTGACACTTTTATTTCTAATAACTTTAATTTTAAAATTATTTTACACTTTCACTTAATTCTATTTATTTTTTTAATAATATATTAATAAATTTAGAAGTTACAATATATTAAGAGAGTTATGACATCTAAATCAACTATAATAATATAGTATATTAATAAATTTAGAAATTATAACGTATTAATTAATTAATCACTCAAGTGTACCAAAGAATCAACCATAAATAAAAAATTGAGAGAAACTTTAAAGGTGATATGTTAGACAAAGTTAAGTGATCAGACTTGGACCGTCACGACTGACTCCGAGCAGAAGTTGAGTGAGATGAGGAGGGGGGTACCTACAAGGCACTCTGATGCTAAAATGAGTGACGGAATGAGCAGGCAAAAAGCGTATGTATGGGTAAAAGATGAATACCTGACCCTCTAGGAACAGAGGGTATTTATAGCCCCCAGCGCGGGGCCAAGGTCCCCTCATTGGGCCGACCAGAATGGGCCCAATAAAGGAACTGTCAGGTTCTACGTGTGTAGTGGGGACCCGGACGTGGTCTCCCTCCTGGTGATGCTCTGCGAGAAATGAGGAGGAACGAAGACGCGGTCTTTCCGGAGTTCAGGTGATTTGGTAACGGTCAGAATCTGCCCTACGAGGAGGGTGCTCGAGCTGGGCTCGAGCTGGAGTTCCCGTGGTCGGGGACACCATGTTCGCGGGCAACGACGGGTACGGCTGCAGTCTGTGGTCGGGCGCGCAGGCGGAAATCCTCGGGCGCGCGCTCCTCGAGGAGCTGCTTGGATTGGGCCTTCGCTCTTGCTTTTGGACCAGGGCGGGCCCAGTCCAGAACAGGAGCCCCCCAAGTCGTGGCTCCTGGAGCAGGAGTTATGACTTGACCTCATCTCGCCTTTGCCACGGGGTCTGATGCCCGGCCCAGGATATTTGCTTCCCCGTGACTGCTCGAGAAGTTTCTCATGAGTTGCGTTCGTGGCGTAATCCTTGTCGACGCGTGCTCGAGGGATTCCTCGCGGGCTGTGTTCGTTGGATACACGAGGCAACCCTTGGGAACCGTGATGCCACCCTAGCGAGAGTAGGGTCATCATTGCCTAGGGGAGTAGACGTCGAGGAAGGGAAGTTCGTGGTTCCCCGGGGTGACGTTTCGTATTCCATGTCATCCCTATAAATATGATCCTTAGGTCATATAATTCGTTTTTCCTCTTCGCACTTCTCCTTCTTCCTCTACCTTTGTCGCCGCTGTTTCTCTACAACTTCGTAAGATTACCGTACCTTTCTCCGTTGATTTTCTCCACCGTTGTCGTACCTTCTTCTTAACTTCCAAGTAAGCGTTTATCCCTCCTATTTTTCTTTGTTTGTAGGTAATTTTTCCGTTATTTGGATGTTAGAAACCCACATCTGGGATTGGCGCCTGGTACATTCATGTTTGTGCCCGGCACATTCATGTTTGTGCCCAGTAAACTCATGTTTGTGACTCGCGATGCTGCCCGGGACCTTCATGGTTTTGGGCGCATAATTCTATGATACTGCTTGGTAAACCCATAGTTCTAGGTTTAGGATTCATGATATTGCCTGTCACATTCGTAGTTTAGGTCGGCGTACCCATGGCTGGCCGGGATGTTGGCCCATTAGGAAGTATGTAGGACAACTCGTCGTGGTACCTTAGCATCGGGGAGGCGAAAGCAGGATCTTGTTCGAGTCCTCAACGTTTTAACGCGCGCGGAGTGTCTCTTGGCTTGTCGTGCCGTACTTCCCGTCAGTTATGGCGAGCATATGGATTTGCTCTCGAATTTCACCGGTTTCCTGTGCTTTGCAGGTAAATGGCCGACGAACCGGAGTCTTCGGGGCGTAATGAGGTCGAGGACCATAGTACCGAGGAGAATGTAACTCTAGTTGATACCGTTGATGCTCCTTCATTGGATTGGGTTGGCGCCGAGCCCTGAGGGATTGCCTCGGCATATAGTCGGCGTAGTCGGAGCGCCTACACTATCGTCGAACACGGCGGTAGTCAATCGGGCTTCCAGAAGAACTTTGTTGTCATAAGGTCGTCTCTCGACGCGCTGATCTGCTCGGAGTTCTCTGAGTATGGTTTTCCCATGTATGAAATCACGTTCAAGGGCCTTGGCCTTAAGCTCCCATTCAGTGATTTCCAGGTCGGGGTATTCTGCCATATGGACTTGGCCCCCTCGCAGCTTCACCCCAATTCGATCGCCTTTCTTCGGGCGTTCGAGCTGACATGTCGCTTCTTAAGGATCGGGGCGACCATACCTCTCTTCTTCAGAGTTTTTCACTTGCAACGCCAGTCTCGAGGAGGCAGGCATAGCTGGGTTTCCCTGAAACAGTCGAAGAGGCTGTTCAGGATGTACATGGATTTGGTCCGGGGTTTTAAGGACAAATGGTATGTCGTGCAGACGGTCACCCAGACTGCTTTGGATTCTATATACGAAGAGGAGACCGCAGTGGCCGACGAGAACGGGGAGCCTCTTATGGACGACGAGGGTCACCCGGTGTTGGGGCGTGTATCCAAGTTCCCGTTTCATTGGTGCTCGCGCCATTACGAGCATGGTACCGGTCACTACCATACGCCCGCGGGAGGGATGAGTGCTGAGGATGAGAAAGCCTACGGTACCCTTTGCAAGTATGTCGACAGCTTCTTCCCGG